CTGGTGAAAGCAACGACTGCACACTTTCCACTTGCGATTTCGCGCCCTTGTTAACGTAGGTGGTGTGATGTCACCGATGCTTCTTCTGAAGTTGAGCGTGAAGTTCAAGTCAAGTCACACCTGATTTCCCCACACAGATGTCATGAGCATAAATGAAACGTCTAACACTGCTCTAATTAGTGTTAGGCTGAACAACATCAGGCTTGCCCCGCCGTGGTGGTCTAGTGGCTAAGGTACTCGGCTGCTCACCCGCAGGTCCCAAGATCGAATCCCGGCTGCGACGGCTGCATTTCCGGTGGAGGCGGAACTGTTGTATGCCCATGTGCTCAGATTTTGGTGCTCGTTAAAGAACCCCAGGTGGTCGAAATTTCCGGAGTCCTCCACTACAGCGTCTTTCATAATCGTCCTTAATCAACCTTTTACGACTTCCAGTGTCTCTTCAACTATCGCGAAAAGCTGTTTTCGGCCGAGACTGTGGAACAATAATTTAGTTTAATGCATATTAGTTTTCAGACCTACTCTTTTGTTTTTCTTGTTGAGTACTTTGATAATGAGACCTACATTTTCCATGAGGTACTCGTAAAGGCAATGTATGATTGAATCACAGATTAATACCATACTCTCCCTTCATTCCTATTCCTAATTCTTGTGAATCTAGGGCCTTAAAAAGCTCTTGTCAAACGTGGTCACGTAGCATTAGAGAGATTGTGTCTCCCTGTTCTACACTTTTTAACGGGATTTTGTCGACAGAGAACTATGGTAACCGTAGATTCGCTGTAGATTTTTTCAGTGTGTTTATGTAGGGTTTGTTGATGCCCTGATTTCGTAGTGCCTGCATCACTGCTGATGAATCGACTGAGTCATCTATGAATGCTATTTATAGAGATTGGTTGTATTCTGTAAATTTCTCTTTCATTGGATTAGTAATATGAATATAGTATACTGTGAATTAACCTGCACGAGATCCTGCTTGGTCCTTTGGCTGTTTGAACTCTAATATCACGATAAATCTAATAGCTAATATTTTTGTGAATAGTTTGTAGAGAACAGAAGTTAGGCTGATTAGCCTGTAAGTTTTTAACTCCTTGACCTCTCCTCTCTTAACAATTAAAATTTTTGGCGTTCTTCCAAGATTCTGGTACCCTTCCCGTCAAGAGACACTTCGTATATAAAGTGACCAGTTTTTCAAACAAAATTTTTCCGCCATCTTTCAGCGGGTTTGTTGTTACCTTACACTCACCAGCGAATTTGCCTCGTAGCATTTCTTCCAAGGCTCGCATTACTACCCTGTCATTACTGGGTAGATGTTGAATTTCTGTAGGCTGTTACAGCTGCTTGAGATATAATTCTCGGTGGTTCGTCTTTTGTACGGCTCTCTGTATGAATCCTCCTTCGCCTCAGCTATCCTAATCGTATTGGATATGACATTGCCTTTCTGTTCCCTTGATGCATACATATACTTTGGGGTTATGCACAAAATTGCCTTCGCAGCTTCTACTCTTTTACCCTGTTTTACAGCCTGCTCTATTTCGCGCATGTTTACCCTTCTAATGTCAGCTGCCTTACGCAATTGATTAACTTTTAAAGCCCCAACAGCTTAATTTTTTGTTTGCGTTTGAAGCTTTCATAATTTGTCGTGTTTTAATGGGATGTTTCGTCTCCTGAGGTAGTTTGCCAGTGTCCTTCTTAGTGACTGTACCTCTGACTTTCATTGCACACACTTTGATAATTCCAGTATCATTATCGCGCATTTTGTCAACGCCATCGTCGGTTAAGTCGTTCAGAGCAGCGAATCAATTCTGAAGTGGTATTCTGAATATCTGTACTCTACCTCTAATCATTAGTTCGATAAAGGGCTTCTCGCCTCTCAGTTTATGGCTTTCTTTTTCTAAATCTGGGTGAATTAGCTATTGAAACTCTAGGTGAATCTAGGTGAATCTAGCTAATGCAATTCTGTGGTCACTGCATTAATTCTTGCGCACTATTTCTACATGCTACCCCACCGTGGTGGTGTAGCGGCTAAGGTACTCGGCTGCTGACCCGCAGGACGCAGGATCAAATCCCGGCTGCGGCGGCTGCATTTTCGATGGAGTAGGATATGTTGTGGGCCCGTGTGCTCATAATTGTGTGCCCGGTAAAGAACCTCAGGTGGTAAAAATTTCCGAAGCCCTCCACCATGGCATCTCTTATAATCGTATTGTGGTTTTGGGACGTTAAAGCCCACACATCAATCAATTACTTTTACATGCTGTGATAAACCTGGGTGTGCACACAGATTAAAGTATATTTCATTTTAGTTCGGTCATCAGGATGGCGCCTCGTCCACTTACGGCTAGCCCGTTATCTGTAAAAGCTATTTAGGTTTTTTAACTAATACTTTTTAAAATGAAAAACATTTTTAGCGAACTTCGACGACTTTAGCGTATCTATCTACCTATCTATCGAGCCGCTACGTTTCGGTGCTCTCATGGTCACCCCAATAACTTGGCGTGAATTGAACGAAAATTAGCGTGGGAGGGTAAGATGGTTTGACAAATATGACGCGCTGGTTAAGACATGAATAGTGTCACAATCTCGTCGCGTACATCGTCAAACGCTTCCCGGTAAACAGTGACACATACCCACGGGCGGGTATGTGCCGCTAGTATGCGGGTATGTGCTACAGGTGATCGACACTTGGTATCTACCCAGGAACGACGAGGACACACGTGGGCAAATATAGCATGAGAGCGTTAACAAACACCCGACGTCGGCAACGTTGACCCGACGAATGCAAAGAATAAATTTCAGGGTCCCAGCTGTAATCGAACCGAAGTATTCTGCGTAGCAATAAATTATTTTACCGACAAAGCTAAGCGAGGTCACGGAATTACTTTTCAAATAGACGGTAATCTTTGAAAAACGTCAGAAGTGGTTGCAGTACTGCCTACCCAATTTTATAAACACGTCATATTTACTCCTTTAATATTGCCGTCACGTCGGGTTAGCGTCCATCGTGGTTAGTTAATTGACATCGCTGAAGTTGATTTATGTAGCATTGTCGAAGGCCAGCATGCTCGCGAGCACCAGCACATCATATCAGCTTCTTAATGTTGCTAGTACGAACGTTCAAGTAAGCATTGTTGCGCATGTGAGCCCCGCTGCGGTGGTCTAGTGGCTAAGGTACTCGGCTGCTGACCCGCAGGTCGCAGGATCGAATCCCGGCTGCGACGGCTGCATTTCCAATGCAGGCGGAAATGTTGTATAGGCCCGTGTGCTCAGATTTGAGTGCACGTAAAGAGCCTCAGGTGGTCGAATTTATCGTAGCCCTCCAGTATGGCGTCTCTAAAAATCTTAAGGTGGGTTCGCGACATGAAACCCCACATATCAATCAATTATTCGTGGTGCAAGTGCGAACAGCTGGGTATGTAAACATCTGAAAGTCTTCAACATATGTCTGTGTGGGCAAAATTTGTACATATAATTAGTTTCATTTCGTGGCAGTGTCGCTGAATAAAACATGGCAGCATATCCATCGGGGTGAATGATGGGGAATGGGGACGAAGCATCCGTCCGTTCATTCGTTCTTGCTCGCGTTCATCCATGCGTCCGTCTGTGTGACCGTCTGTGCGTGCATCTGTCCGTACGTCCGCACGTCAATCCGTGCGTCCGTTCCCTGCGTCCGTCCATGCGTCCATCCGTACGTGCAGCCATCCATGCGTCCGTTAATGCATCTGTCTGTGTGTCCGTTCGTCCATCTAGTCAACACTCCAAGTACCATCATCTCGGATCTTTTTATCATATATTTCGCATATAGAAGCATTGCCATCCAGCGGACATTCCAAGGACAAAACGAGAGGCGGCATGCGCACACTTTCTTATGGCTTGCGCTTCGTGTTTACTTCCTCCCTTTAACCACCTCGAGTTCATGGTATATACTAGTTCACTGTATTCATGACACTGTGGCCCGAAGCTCTCTAACCCTTTCTAAAACCAAGAGGGTACGCCCAGCGAGTTAACGTAGCAACCCTTTCTTGTCAGACATTGCTCAATGTACATGCCAATGGCTGCTAAAAGGGGAATGAGAGACAGGAGAATTCGGGTTTTAGTTAACGCGCACGCTGCGAAGTTTTCATTTTTTAACAACGCACAGAAGAAATCTCCCACTGGCACCACCTTGCAGCTCAAAACATAAGACTGGGTACGCATTATGACGAGGGACGAATGGGTGCCGCTTTAAAGAGCTTCACTCTTAAAAAATTATATCTTGGTCACCTTCCCTCCGCATGCTTCGCATAACGTCAATTTCCACGTATGTGGGACCTGCCGTATTTTTTTACATAGCGTCCCATGTTAAGTAAGATAGGAAAATCATGGTGCTGCTGCTCACCTGAATGAACCCAATCAGCGTGGGAAAAATTGGGCAATAGCTGTTAGTATTACAATACGAAAGGCCATTGACGCGGTTGTAACTAGACTACTTTACAAGAATTCCAGCTGCCAGATGTATGTAACCGAAAACGACTGCACCTGTTGGCTAACCACCCATGTCAATATAAATAGCTGTTGAGAAAGAGGACAGCCAGAGAAACTTGCGTTGGTAGTTAACTGCCACAAAATGCCCAAGCTTTTCAATACTGTTGTTATTTCTCCACTACTTGAGATGACAGAACGATACCAGAACTCGGTGACATCCTAAGTGTGTGAACCAATTATTGAGTAGTAGGAAAAAATGATAGCGCAACGTTAGAGAAGTAATGTTTTCGAAGGTTCATAACCAATGACGCAAGGTTTTTTTTTCTCTACGCATTTCGCAATAGACAAGATGCTTATGGCACGTTTCGTGGTTTATTTCTTTCAATTTAGGCGATACTTTAGGAAAACTTACGCATCGTGAAAACAAATTGTTGAACGTTACTGCAGAGAACGTTTGAACAAGCGAAATGGCTGGCAATGCCTCAGCTTGTTTTTTTTTTAGACGCAAATATTTTTACAAATGTTTCCTTTTCTTCGCCTTTCAGTTTCTGAACACGTCAGAGCACATATGGACTGTGCGAGCTACTAGACACGGAAACACAACCTGTCAATTTGATCATGTCCGTCATGTAAACTTAGGCGTGTCTTTTTCAACAGAACCCTTATGGAAGGCAGAACAAGGTGAGAAGATCGTGTTTCTTATTTCTTATACTTTTGTTCTAATGCACTCCCTTCACCACTTTCTAGGCATTCTGTTCGACTGATAGGGGAGTTTTTCGAAGATAATAAAAGCAAGATGTATGTCACGACTCTAGGTACGTCAAGTATTTGTTATATGACGCACTCAATGCCTAAAAAGTCCCGCAACAGCAACATGGGCAACTCCCCGACACGCTATACCTGGTTTGCGGGAATGCCAGTGTCAGTCATTGTTTTTTAAAATGAGTGTACAGCGAAGTGCACTAAGAATATTTAACAGTGCTGTAGCAAATATCTTTAAATGCGCGGTCGCTCACTTAGTTACGCATTTTTACTTCCGTAAAATTTTATTTATTACTTTTTTCGGGTGGCACATTGCTTTAACCGCACTAACGACAAAAGAAGCGTGTTCGCCTTCTGATGTTAGCTACTGGTGTTAGCTTGGGCTAACAGCAGCAGCGCATCCAGCTGTCCATAACTTAAATGAAAAGAAATCTTATAACATTAACAGCACGAGTGCGTTCAGCTGTTCATAACCGAAATAAAAAAGTCCATTATTATTAACCCTTTCAGCCCTGGATTTTTTATTTTTGTCGGACACACTTCTTTTGCGCGTTTTTCTCGTAGTTAGGCCCTTCGAAGACCATAAACAGAAAATTCAGCCACTGGTACAAGCATTTTTGGAATAATTAGCGTGGCATCAAACTAGGTGATTAGGGCCCACTGATTAGAAAGTAAAAAATAGCTTCTTTCTTCCTGCCAATCAATGGTGTACACAAAATGTAAACCAACGTCTTACTTTTCAGCCTAATACTCACTGAAGCAGCTTCGGTACATTGTCCCGAAAATGGCGCTTACCCGCCTCAACTTACGCGCCTCGGCATCACGGAATACCTCGGTCGCGCTTCTTCTTCTTTGTGGCTGCTACCTCCAGCAAACGTGCCACAATATTGGTGTCAATTGCAGTGGGGATCATTGAACAACTATGCCCCGAAGAATGAGTATTCTTGGTTAGGTTTCTGAGATACTAGGAAACATTGTATGCGGTGGTGTCCATTGACAGTTCCAGGGCCCAAAAGGTTAAGACAGTAGTTAGCTTGAGTGCCCAAAACTTCAAAATATACAGTAATACGTCACATTTATGTAGCCTTTGACAGCATTCATATATGAGCTTGACACAGCTGTCGCAATTTCGCACAGTTGAAAAAAATCTGTAATATATATATATATATATATATATATATATATATATATATATATTGAAAAAGTTTTTCAAATGGGCCAAACGCACTTGGGGAGAGATGAGTCAACTTAGTGGTCATCTTAATTTTATTTCCAACGTTTTCAACTGGTGGACCGGTCTTCGTCAGTGTTTGCGAACAAGTTCCCCCCCCCCACACACACACAGATTATATATATATATATATATATATATATATATATATATTGTTGCGAGTAACTTTCTTAATAAGCAATTCATAACGCAGAAGAGAACTCTATGAGAAACACAAGATGGCGCCAGTCTAGCATCAACTAAAAACTAACTTCGTCCTCCACTTTCATGAAGCCGCGCTTAGAGGCTGTTATGTATCGTAACCCCGGCGGTAGAAGCACCATCTCAGTGCTAAATCTACGCAGATGATGTCAAAGGAGTGGTAGTAGGGCTTTAGCCGAGCCACGTGAATGGTGTCGTTCTGAGCTGACAATGGCTTCGTTGGATCAGTTGGGACAATCGCATACGCGACGTCTGTCACTTGGCGAACGATATGAAATGGTCCAGTGTAGGGCGACAACAGTTTCTCAGACAGTCTCACACGCGGAGTGGGTGACAAGAGGAGCCCAAAAGAACCCCCCGAAAAGTGCATGTTTCTGTGGTGAAAATCGTATAGTGGTCATTGGTGCGCCTGTGAGGTCTGTAGACGGTTACGGGCGACTTGGCGCTAGTGGTCGGCGCGGGCAATGGCTTCTCCAACATACTCAGTGGCTGAAGGTAGCAAAGTGTCTAAGGGTAGCGTTGAGTCCCGGCCATATAGGAGATAGAAGGGCGAATAGCCGGCAACGTTGTGACGGGATGAATTGTAGGACAACGTCACATAAGGCAAGTGAATGCCCCTTTCTTTGTGGTCTGGCACAACGTATTTGGCGAGCATATCGGTTCTGGTCCTTTTGAGGCACTCCGTAAGGCTATTTGACTGTGGATGGTACGAAGTTGTAAATCGGTGCTTGGTATGGCAAGACCTTAAGATTTCGTGCACGATGGCTGATAGGAACGTGCGGCCACGGTTGGTGAGAAGTTGGCGGGGAGCACCGTGCACTAATATTATGTCGTACAACAGAGTCCGCAACGTCGGTAGCGCAACTGGTCGGGTGTGCACGTGTGATTGCGTACCGCGTCGCGTAGTCGGGGGCGACAGCAATCAAATTATTTCCGGCTGTGAAGAATGGAAAAGGGCCCAACAGGTCAAGACCAACTCGAAAGAAAGGTTCAGTGGGAACGTCGATGGGCTGAAGGTAGCTGGCTGGGAGGGCGGATGGCGTTTTACGACGCTTACAGGGCTCACAAGCGGCGACATAGCATCGAACGGAGTGGGCCAGTCCTGGTCAAAAAAAAAACCGATGTCGTACCTGATCGTATGTGAAAAAAATGCCCAAATGGCCTATCATGGGGACGTCATGTAGTTGGTACCGGACAGTGGAGCGCAAATGCACTGGGATGACAGGAAGTAAGTCTGATACAAAGGAAACAAGGTTACGGCGGTAGAGGATCCCATCTTTCGCCAAAAACATTCATAGGGAAGGGTCACTAGGCATTGACTCCTGTTTGTCAATGATGGCTCGTAAAGAAGCATCCCGACGTTGCTCTTCGCTATGTTCAGCAGGTGCGACACGGAAAAAATGACCACGACAGCGTCAGTATCAGTTGCTTCGTCCACAGGTTAGCGGGATAAACAATCCGCATCCTGATGTATTTGCCCTGTTTTATACATTACATAGAACGTGTATTCTTGAAAGCACAGGGCCCAACGAGCGAGACGTCCTGTGGGGTCCTTCAGGGAGGCTTGCCAGCAGAGCGCGGCATGATCCATGACAACACGGAATGAGCGCCCGTACAGGTATGGACGAAACTTCGTGACTGTTCATAAAAGGGCGAGGCAAAGGGCTCCGTGATGGAATAGTTTCGCTCGGCTAGGGATAGAAGCCAACTTGCATAGGCTGTACTAAGGTCGTGTCCCCGTTGGTACTGCAATACCACCGCTCCTATGCCGTGTGCACTGGCGTCCGTGCGAGCCTCGGTTGGGGCTGATGGATCAAAGTGGGTTAAGGTTGCTGGCATTGTAAGCAGGGTCGTAACTTGGGAAAAGTATGACGCTTGGTCAAGGCCCCAGATAAACGACGCGTCTTCCTTCAGGAGGTCTGTGAAGGGGCGTGCAACTGTCGACAACTCCTTAACAAAGCGTCTGAAATAGGAACACACACCCACAAAACTGCGAACATCTTTTGTTGTCCTCGAAACGGGAAACTTTGTAACTTCGCGAATTTTCTCTGGGTCTGGATGCACTCCTTAGGCATCGAAAAGGTGACCGAGCACAAAAATTTGACGACGAGCGAAGTGGCACTTGTAGGCATTCAAGTGGTGTCCGCCTCGACGGAAAACGTCAAAATATCTGATAAACGATTGAGATGTGAGTTGAACGCGTGCACAACACAAGCAGGTGGACCATTTCATCTTCTTGTAAAACACAAGCAGGAGGACTATTTCAATCCTTGGAGCAATAAGTCCATCAATCTTTCAAATGTGGCTGGTGCATTGCAGAGACTAAATGGCACCACCTTAAACTAATAAAGACCATCAGGAGTGATCAATGCGGTGTTCTCGTTGTCCATCTCGTCGACGGCTATCTGCCAGTAGCCTGACCGAAGGTCAATAGTTTAAAAATTGTAGCATCGTGGAGGCAGTCAAGAGCGTCATCGATGCGAGGCAAAGGATAAACGTATTCTTTTGTAGATTTGTTGACGTGATGGTAATCGACGCAAAAGCGCTATGTTCGATCCTTCTTTTTAACAAGGACGACGGGAGCAGCGCAGGGCCTGCATGGAGACTCTAAAATGTATTTCGCAAGCATTTTTTCGACTTTCTGTTGTAATATTGCAAGCTCTGACCCAGAAAACGGTAGGGGCGTCGGTGAATGGGAGTCGCATGGCCAGTATTGATGCGATGGGTCACGACGGTCGTTTGGCCCAAAGAGGTGCTGGCAAAGTCGAAAATGCTACGATAGCCCTCAAGAACGTGGCAAAGCGCTGCAGCTTGCTCAGACGTGCGGTCCAATGACACCATTCGCTGGATGTCGGCACCCGAAGAACGTGATGGAGTTGAATTACTCACTGAGTAGCAGCAATCGTCCACTCTGAAGGGCTCAACATGGTCGTCTTGGAGAGCAGTAATTTTGACCAGGGAGATACCCTTTGGTAGAACTTGGGTGGTGAGTGAAAAATTGACAACATGCGGCACAGCAACACCGTACATAAGCATCACGGCAGGATTCGAAGCCACTATGTAATCACCATCAGGTGCTGGCGGCGTGACGATAAGTTGACATGTGTGACAGAGTTAGGTGGGAGGCGCGTGAAATCAATGCAGCGGAGGCTGGTTTGCGGTGGACTGGTCGGGTCGGTAAAGAGAAGTAAATTGAGATGAAAGAGCCAGCTGAACAGTCTATGAGGGCAGAGTGCGTGGCTAGAAATCCACACCGAGAATGAGTTTTGAGGGCAATGTTCGATAACGGCGAAAAGAACGACAGTGCTCCTCTCCCCAATAGAAACTCGCGCAGAGCACATGCCGAGAATCGCGGCAGTTTCCTCATCGATGACTCGTACAGACCGGTTGAGGGCGGGTGGGTTAACTTTTTTAAGTCGGTGGTGAAGGTTAGCATTAGTATTGGACTCATGTGCGCCAGTATCTACCAACGCGCTGACACGAACATTGTCAACAGAAACGTCTAAAAGGTTCAGGTTCGTCGTTAACATTTGACGAAGATTTTTTACGAAGTTCGTCAACGCAGCTTCTCTCAAGACGCTGCACGATCAAGTTTTCCGGTTGTAGGTGCTGCTTATAGGT